AAGCCCAAAGCCCTATAAATCCTAGACTTCCGGCCCTAAACCCTAAGCAGGTATTTTTCCTTGGCGCAAAGCTTCGCCTTTCAAGGCACCTGGCCAAGGGCTGCCCGGGGGGTGGCCGGACTCCGGGGCTTCAGGGTGCCCTTTTAAGCGTTTAGGGTATTAGGGTTTTAGGGTTTTGAGGAATTTTAAAGTTTAGGGTTGGTATTGGGGTGCAGGATTTTTAGGGTTTTGAGGAATTTTAAAGTTTAGGGTTCAGGGTTTAGGGTTTTGAGGGTTTAGGGTTTTGGATTTTAGAGTTCAGGGTATTGGGGTGCAGGGTTGTTAGCGTTTTTAGGAATTTTAAAGTTTAGGGTTCAGGGTTTAGGGTTTTTAGGGTTTAAGGTTTTAGATTTTAGAGTTCAGGGTATTGGGGTGCAGGGTTGTTAGCGTTTTTAGGAATTTTAAAGTTTAGGGTTCAGGGGTTTAGGGTATAGGGTTTTTAGGGTTTAAGGTTCAGGGTGTAGGGTTTAGTGGCTTAAGGGTGTCTTTTAAAGTTTAGGGTTTAGGGTTTAGGGCCTAGGGGTTTAGGATTTAGGGCTTTAGCGGTTTAGGGTGTAGGGTTCCGTTGAAGGTTTCCCTGAAAGGTTCCTGTCAGCTTTCCTTTTGAGGGCTAGGGGTTTAAGGTAGTGAGTCTAATCATTAGTCATCGGGGTCAACAACACATGGTAAGTGTTGTGTTTTTTCTCGACGTTCTTGTCCGTTCAGTCTTGTCTTGCAGGGTTTGTCCGGTTCTACTAACTAGCTAGCCTATATCTCATGAGGTTTGAATACGTAGTATTTCAGATTGCGACAGGATAAAAGGTAAGTCCAGAAAACCACTACAAAACCTCACCTGAAGAAGTGTGCTGTTGCCGAACATTCTAAAGCTTTATGACATTTATGCGCTACGGTTGATATGAATCCTGCATTACCTATAACAAGGAATAAACCATGCATAATTCCAATAGTTTAGGGTCCTTGAGGTAATGGTTTATATCATCAGCAGTATGAACCACAAGCTCTAAGCCCAAAGAGGTCGCATGCGACGGGCTTTAGTCGGGACCCTGGCTTTCTGTGGATTTAGGGTTTAGGGTTCTGAGACTTGAAAAGGTCTAGGTTGCGGCCTCGTTGCTTTCGAGAGCGTGATGGCTCTTTTCGGGGGTGCAAGCATGGAAGACCCGACTTCACAGAGGTTTCCAGACTTACGGACACCGCATGTAAGGCTTAAGGCCCTAATTCATGCTGTAGGACACGCAGTGCATGCGCCCATTGGGTAAGGGACGCGATAGCCGAGGCCTTCCCGGTGTTGAACCGGATGCAAGTATAAGTATGCAGGCAACTGCATGCATAGTTTCGTGTAGTTACATTTGCAACGTATAAGCATATATATATATATATATCTATCTATCTATCTATCTATCTTTATATGTAGGTTGGCATAAATCGACATAAGTACAAAAATAAATGTACACATAAATTTCCATTTCAATACATATCAGTATATACATATATATATATATATGCATATGTTCGTAAATGATACTACCCTCACGTGTCAGACTACTTGCTGAGAGAGATGAATGGAAGGCGAGGGAGAGAGAGATGGAGAGAGAGAGAGAGAGATTAGTTAGATACAGCACAAGGTTTCTCGCCGGGGGATTGCGTTGCCTGTTTCACACTCACCTACAAAGCCAAATACAAAGCTATGGGTGGCTGAGCTGGTCGGTTCGGGGAGCTTGACACGCTCCCTATGCCCCGGAGACAAGACAAGCCAGATTAGGCGGACAGAGCCCGAATAAAGGATACAAGTATTCCAACTTTATGACTTTGGATGCCTGTTAGATACCAGAGGCAGCTACTCACAAGGATTGTGTACCAACCCTGACAGGTCTTACTCTAAGGCTTTAGCAACTCAGCAACTCAGACATGAGGCGTTCGTCCACATGGGCTTTATCTTCGTGCGGGACAAGGGCTTCAGTGAACACCGGCTGCAGACAGCTCCTGGAGTTTACACTTTCTCAGGCTAAACCTGCGGAAAAATCCCGAACCTGCGGCTTAAGACGAGCCTCAAATTGAAACCCTCAGACAAAGCAGCTAAGCCCTGAAACTCGGCCACTGTGCCACAGCTTTCAAACTGGTGGCCCCCAAACAAGCGGTCTCCGTCCCAGGCAGATATTCATGATGATGACGGTGGGGATCATGGCCAGGATGATGGTGATTTTGGTCATGCAATTAGAGTTTTGTGTTCATGGGGGGTAGGGTCAAGGGGAATGATGATGACAAGGAGATTGCCCAGGACGGCAGGAAGATGCTGATTTTGATAGTGAGGGTGGCAGGAGCCTTTCAACCACCTTCGAAGCCTTCATGTCCTCATAATAATAATCACAATAATAATAATAATCATAATAAAGTCCTGCAAAACTGGGAAAACCTGAAGCCACGGATCTGAAAACTGCTTAAACCCTATCAAACCGTATTCAACCTCATTAACGCTACATTCGCTATCGTTAGACCGGACCATTAAGCCCTACTAAGCCCTGTTCCCAAGCCCACTTATATAGTTGAAAGGGTTGAAACCCTAAATCCTAAACCTTTAGCAGCTTAAACCCCGAGTGGGCTCCCTAAACCCTAAACCCTAAACCCTAAACCCTAAACCCTAAACCCTAAACCCTCCTAAACCCTACCCTAAACCCTACACCCTAAGCCCGACACGGTGTGCACGCCGAGGAGTGCACTCCTTGGCCGGTGCAGGCAGTCTGGGGGCTTCAGAGGGTTTACTTGGAGGTTCATGGGTAGTTATAAGTGGGGCTGTAATTAGGGTAACTATAGTTATAGCCCATATTAAGGGACGCATAGCCCTACTTACAACTACCCATGAACCTCCAAGTTGGGTTTCGGGTTCAGGCTTTCGGGCTTCAGGTTAGGGCTTTACGGGTTGGGGCTTAGGATTTAGGGTTTGGGGGATCCCCTAAACCCTCAGCTCAAAAGCCTGAACTCTAGCTTTAGAGGATTGTTCAAAGTGTTGGAGGGCTGTTTCTGACAATTCTTTCAGGCTATTTGGGGTTGTCGACAGCTCAGGTTATAGTGTGTACAAAGGTTCGAGAGCTCAAAGTTAGTTTGGGGATTTGGAGGGATTGTTTGGTTGCGCCTCGAAAACCTTGTGGTCACGGCCAAGTGTCCTTGCAGCAGTATGCGTCAGTGTAGCGCTATCAATCGCCTGTGGCCTGCAAGAGACATGTTGCACAGCTTCCACAACATCATCTGCAAATGTGCGCACCAGAACCGAGCTCACACCGAACCTATAGTTGGTTGCAAACACTTCCGAAACAAGTTTAACCCTTACGTGATCAGGACTTTCGGGTTCTTGGAGTTTCCAGCCGCTTCGCATATGAGTTGCCCCTGAACTTCAGCCACAGGACCTTTCCATACCATGCCAAAAAAACTGTCACAAGTCTTTCTGAAACGAATTGAACTTCCGAAGGACCGTTTACCTGAGTCTGGCGAAACCAAGTCGGATGAGCGCTTCTTCACATGTCACAGCTCCAAGCCCAAAGCCCTCTAAATCATAGACCCCAATTCCGGAACCGGAAGTCCTCCACCCCTAAATCCTAAACCCTATAAGCCTTAAACCCCTAAACCCTAACCCCTAAACCTAAATCCCAGACCACTCAAGCCTCGCAGGGTTGGGACATGCTCCTCGCCGGGCGCAACCTGATGGAGGTGGTGCGGAGGCTCGAGGACCGCGTGTTTCGGGTTGGCTTTGGATTCATATTGGGGGGTTTCCGAAAGTAGGGGACCCTAAAATAGTACCCGTGGAATCCTTATTATAAGGACCCCTTAATAGGGTAATAGGATACCCCTAATCTTCGGAAACTCCCACATGGCATTTCAGGCTCCAAGGCACTATACTTGGGCCCTTGGCCTCATAGAGACAGACTTGGACTTATGTCTATGACACGAAGCTCGCTTATTAAATCCGACACCACAGGCCAATACCATGAAGGGAACCCCAGAAGAAGTCATTCAAACGCACGAAAACGGTTGCCAGATTGCTTTCGGAATACAGAATCTCCAAGACACCATGACGGATCCCTGGAACTTCTCCCGAAGCACCCAACATGCCCAAGCTAACAACCACACCTTATATCTTAGCACTGGGTTCTCTGAATTTAGGGTAGATTCGTAGATTCCCGAAATTCGGAAATCTACCCGAAACCATGTAAGGCTCAACATTGGTCTTCAAAGAATAGATGGTCCCTAGTTTAGCTTTACCCTCAACCCTACACCTTAAACGCCTAAACCCGAGACCCTACCAAAGCAAGTGCAAGGTTTTTTTTACGATCAGTTTTGCCTGCAGAAATCGAAGCACGATCTGTTCAGGATGAGTCCATCACACCGAGCCTCTGGTTGCAGAGCGGGTCCACAGGTTTTGTGCAGGGTTTAGGGTTTATGGGACCTGGTGTCGTGCATTGTTTTAGGGCGTTTCTCTATGTCAGTGCTCGAATTAAGTGTGACATGATTCTTCTGGGCTCCTTGAGGTGTTTTTTTAAAGGGCTGAACACGAGGCTCTGTCGGGCAGATGCGGGATATAGACAGACGTGGTAGAGAACGCCTCGAGCGTTCCACGAGCAGTCTATAAGAGCCGTCAGAATGTCTAATCCGCGAGCAGTCTATAAGAACCGTCAGAATGGAGTGAGGTATGCAACATCGAACGAAAGCTCCAGCACCCAGCCGTGCTACAAAGTCATCGCGCACGATGGACCAGGAAAGCCTGTGCAAGAAGCGAACCTTCAACACGACATGAACCCTAAAACGTTTTCAGGTTCATATACCATATAGGGATTCATAGCACAACGGTATAGGGCCCTTCCTTTGAAGGGTCTTTTGGCCCGTAAGGAAGCCAGCATCAAGGAGAGCGAAAGCGGCCTTTGGTCTATACCCATAGGCTCCATAGTATAGTTCCTTGTTGGGATTCCCTAATAGGATCCTAGATATAAGCCACAAAAAGGAACTACTATGGGGCCTATGGGTAAAGATCAGACCAAAAAACGCAAAGCCTAGTCAACGCCGGTGACCTCGGAGCAAGGTACGCTGTCTACTCACCAAGCTCTTGCCGCCTCAAAGAACTGCTAAACTTAAAAACGGCGCTGCAGAAGGGAGAAACCACGCGGGTCGTGCTAGGCTTATACTTTCCATGGACGGCAGCCTGCGTTATCCTCAGGAAAGATACAATCATTCACATGATGGTCCAACAACGCAGGCAGCAGTTTTTGAACAGGTCTCGGCATCCCAAACCCGAGTATTTGGGTACTGTACTTGAACCCCTATAGGTCAAGTCGGGAAGCAGTTCCATGCACCCATAGACATCGACTCCTGGAGTTACTTTGAAGGAGCTGATGTAAGTCCTCAGTATGTCCCTAAACCCTAAACCCCTTTTGGGTTTGCAAGCTCAGGACCGCACCCCAGTTCCGCCTTCGTGAGCGAGTGGCCATCGTATCCATCTGCGCCTACGGAGAGGTGGAGTTTTACAGGGAAGTGTGAGTTTTACCGAGCTCCACTGCTGTTCCTTTGTTTCATTTATTATGGTGAACCAGAGTTGTATGGTCAGGATCCGACAAAAAGCCTGGCAACGAAACCAACAAAAGGAATGACAATGGAGACCATGGGTAGGGTTGGCTTAGGGCGTTCACAGCTGTAGGTGGTTTGGAGTTTCACGAAGGCTTTGGCGTCTGTGAATTTCAGGGTTTAGGACTCGGGTTGGGGGAAAAGGTGTGCAGGGCTGCGATGGCGATATACAGTGTGCAAAGAGTATGAGAGATATACACCTCAAATCTTAACTCATAATGTTAAGGGCTGAGGGTTTCCAGCCCAAATGGCTCAAGGAATTATGGCTTAGGGTTTATAGGGCTTATATACTCCGTCCTTAATTAAGGCAGATAGGGCTCTCTGGGATTCGCTGCTGGCAAGGCAGTCTTGGGGTTGGCGATGAAGCTGAGGCGGCTTCGGCCCTGGCTGTGATAGGACCGCCCGTAATACGGTCGATGATGTAAATCCTGCACTACCCATAATAAGCAATATATACCATAATTCCCATAATATGGTTGATGATGTAAATCCTGCACTACCCATCATAAGGAGTATATACCATAATTCCCATAGTTTAGGGTCCTTAAGCTAAGGCTGGATTTATACCATCAACAGTACAACGAGAAGTTTAGTCGAGAGAGGTCGAATTTCTGTAGGCAGTCATGGAAATCGAAGGTCCCTTAAAGGACTCTGGGCCGAAACATCAGTCACCCAACCACCTAAACTAATCTATACAGCCTAAATGCACAACATCCAACCCTAAACCCTAAACC